ATATTTATTTAACGGTTTTTTCTATTTCTTATAGTTTCAATTGTATTAAGCCCGAAAAGAAAATACTGCTTTTTTTGAAAGGAGTGTTTCACCTCTTAAAATTCAAAATCCTTACATAAAAAACACGTAAATAAATAAAAATACGCTGTGATGTTGTTTTCTCTGCAAAGCAACAGAGGTGGTTGCCGTCAAAAAAAAAAAAAAAGATTATATCGCGCGTCTGGTATGAGAATAGGAGAAGTTCCGCGCGGCCCTCTGCTAGTGCGAGGATCTGCATTGTCATTTTTGTTGATGGCTACTTTGTCATCGCGACCGAATTCCTTAATTCCCCAGATAGAAATGCCTGATGATCAGATTTCATCATGTCATGATCCTCTGATATGATTGAAATGTGTTGTATGTCTTGTAATCATATTATGATGATAGGTATCATGAATACAAGTTACATACATATGATGAAAAATGTGAGCTTAGATATTAATTTGAGCATATTTATGTACTCATAATGACATTTTTTTGCAAACATTTTTAAGATATCATATGTCCGTGTTTTGAGTAGCACATGAACCTGCATCTATGTCTATTTTTGTCATCATGTTTTGAGAAATATGAGTACAATATTAGTACAGAATGCATATATTTTGCTATCTGGGTCGTTAAATATTGTCCTTGTTTATCCGATTTTAAGGTCGCATTGAAATGTTACGTTCCATTGTGTTTGTCGGTAGAATACTTTTTGGTCAACTATGTGAAGAATAATCCTCGCGATAAGGCTCTCATTACATTAAAAAATAAATAAAAATAAGACGCTAATTAATTGTTGAAATAAATTATTTTTCGCAATCTGTCTCTCCGAGAATATCGATATGGCTCTCGTAACCTCTCGCGCATAGACATAGTATGAATAGACGGAGCATGACTATCAACTGACCCCTGCGAATAATGGGAGCGAAACAGATATATGAAGCGTCCTCCATTCTCTTTCTCTTTTCGCGCATGCGTAATATGGTGCTTATATATATATATATATATATATATATATATATATATATATAAAATATTATAATGACTTATTGCGAACACTGATTATAGTGTATAATATTGCATTAAAATGGAAATAAAATAAAAAATATAAGAAATAATTCTATTCCTTTATTTATTCTTTATTTTATTTTTTTTCTTGTAATTTAACTTAAAATTGTAAAATCGTATTCACGAAGCGAGTGAAGAATGTTATATATATATATGTATAACATTCTTCACTCGCTTCGTGAATACGATTTTACAATTTTAAGTTAAATTACAAGAAAAAAAATAAAATAAAGAATAAATAAAGGAATGGAATTATTTCTTATATTTTTTATTTTATTTCCATTTTAATGCAATATTATATACTATAATCAGTGCAATATTATACACTATAATCAGTGCTCGCAATAAGTCATTATAATATTTTCTTAATAAAATATAGAACTTATTAAAATTAAAATAAATTTTTAAAATGTTTAAAATATTTAAAAAAAAAAACTTAACAACATAGTATTGCTTATTGCACGTAGATATAATATTTGGTTTTATAAGTATTATTAATTATATTAATTTTAAAATTAATCAACTATTCCAAGTTATTCCCCTGGAAAAGTAAAATAAAGAAATAATTTTCTTAAATAATTCAAATGTTTAAAAATCAATAAAATTATGTAGTGTATGTAGATATTAACATATAGTATGCATATATATATTAAAATATATAATTTAAAAAACTATTAATTTTATTGAATTTTAAAAATAACCATTCTAGAATTGCCGAGTGGCTATCACTAAATATTACTTGCGCTGATTCTTCAATAGGCTCACTTATTGATGCATCTATTAGAGATAAATTTTACTATTTGAAAAAGTTTTTCATATAATTGTGTTACATTTTGCAGTTTTGTTATTATTTCACTTGCTGCTTCTTACCAATGAAATTTCTCGCTTCGAAATTAGGTGAAGATTGTTCTTCATTATGTTCATTTGTCTGAATATCACTAGAATTGATTGTTATTATTGATGGTATAGCATCTGGCTTCAAGTAAATTCTCTCTGAATGTGATGCTACAGGAATTTTGTATAATAAAGCATCAAAATGTTGTTTACAAATGAAGACATTTTTTTTCTATTACCAAGAAGGTCCCTTTTTAATTTTAATAAAATCAATCCATGCTTTTTCATGTCTTCTTTGCAAGGTATGGTAATCTATAATAAAAGAAAATAATAGAATAATCATGTATGTGTATAATATAATAATGCTTATACTTGAAAATAATTATACTTTATAATGCAATAACGATATTACAATAATAAATTAATGATAATTATTACTTTTATATTTCCATATTAATAAAACTTAATGCAAAAATGTTATAAGTATTACTTTACAACTAAATAAAATTTCAAGGATAAAGAATGTATCGCTGTACAGAGCCAAATATAATACTTAGCAATTCGCTAAGACAAAGAACAATCTCTAAATTGAGATTTAAATTCTTCTTCCCCTTACCCCCCTAAAATTGATGTAGAGAAAAATATATCGGTCTGAAAAAGTTGGCTTTTTTGGACCAATATATTTTTCTCTACATCAATTTTAGGGGGGTAAAGGGAAGAGGAATTTAAATTTCAATTTAGAGATTGTTCCTCGTCTTAGCAAATTGCTAAGTATTATATTTGGCTCTGTATAGCGATACATTCTTTATCCTTGTTATTTACGATAGGAGCGTTCTAGCCATATTATTGTTAAATAAAATTTGTTATAAATTGCAAAAAATAGATATAATATTAAAATGATGGGTTTAAAATTTTTTATTTATTCTCTTAAAAAATTAACCTGACACAATCATATTAGTAAATATCTAAGTTTACTAATAATACTTACTTATGAAATAATCGATTACAGCTATCTTGCACGCAGTCGCACACCACACATTTTCGCATTTTGTTAATAAAATTAATTTATTAATAAAATTAAATTACTTTTTACTTTAATCTTTACTCTAACCCAGAGGTTCCCAAACTTATTTGGTCTATTGCCTCCTTTCAAGAAAAAAAATTATTTAGCGCCCCCCTGAAAAATGATAAATTTGTATTTTTTATATACTTAGATTTGACCGATATATATATATATATATATAAATTAATATATATAAAATATATATAAAAAATTATTTAGCGCCTCCCTGAAAAATGATAAATTTGTATTTTTTATATACTTAGATTTGACCGATATATATATATATATATATATATATATATATATATCGGTCAAATCTAAGTATATAAAAAATACAAATTTATCATTTTTCAGGGGGGCGCTAAATATTTTTTTTCTTAAAAGAAGGCAATAGACCAAATAAGTTTGGGAACCTCTGGGTTAGAGTAAAGATTAAAGTAAAAAGTAATTTAATTTTATTAATAAATTAATTTTATTAACAAAATGCGAAAATGTGTGGTGTGCGACTGCGTGCAAGATAGCTGTAATCGATTATTTCATAAGTAAGTATTATTAGTAAACTTAGATATTTACTAATATGATTGTGTCAGGTTAATTTTTTAAGAGAATAAATAAAAAATTTTAAACCCATCATTTTAATATTATATCTATTTTTTGCAATTTATAACAAATTTTATTTAACAATAATATGGCTAGAACGCTCCTATCGTAAATAACAAGGATAAAGAATGTATCGCTATACAGAGCCAAATATAATACTTAGCAATATATATATATATATATATATATATATATATATATATATATATATATAAGATATACCTATGTATATTTTGATATATGTATATCTGTATTACAATGTTTTCTTCACTGTTCGAGCTTCGTTAGCAATATGATATTATATATAGGTACTTGGAAAATTGTAAAATAATTACTACAATTTTTAATTTTATACAAATTTAATGAAATCATTAGCTCAGTATTATTTACAAATAAATACGGAAACGAAACAGATGATTCCGAGCCATCGCGGTTGGTGGTGCGTTGATCTCGTAGAGTAGAATTTTAAGAATTCGAGATTTTAATTACGTTTTAATTTTATGTTATACAATACACATGCACACGAACATATAAAATATATACAAACGGTTTTTCAAAATTTTTTTATTTTCTCTTTTAGTTCATGCTTTCACTGCCCCCTTATGTTTATTTAACGCCCCCCCCCCCCCCATTGCAACCGAGGCTACTACCGCCCCCCTAAATCATTTCAGCGCCCTTAGGGGGCGATATCGCCCATTTTGGGAACCACTGCTCTAACCTCTCAATATAACCAAACTCACTTAGCATTAGTACTGTATTGCACATGCGCGAAAAGAGAAAGAGAGTGCAAGACACTTCATATATCTATCTCGCTCCCATTATTCGCAGGGGTCAGTTCGCACACGGGAAGGGGAAGGCAATGCTCCGTCAATTCATTATTATGTTTATGCTCTCGCGTGACGTAATCACTCAGCTCCCGCCCCGCAATTTGGATGAGATGGACGCGCGTCGGGATGACGTCACAGCAAAAAATAAAAATACGTAAAGATATGTCTTTTAAATTTTTGTATTTAATATATTTAACATGAGAATCGAATCGGTTCCGGAGAGTTGTGTTATGTGTCCCTTGTTAGTTATAAATATATGTGATTGCAAAGATAGAGAACATGCAAAAATAATGACTTTTTTTGCCATTTTCATTGAAGAAAAATCATTCTCAAATAACCTTAGAAATCTCCCATTAATAGGTGATCCGGTAAGCCTGAGGTGTGGTATACATTAATAATTTTTTCAATTACTTTGAATAAAAGTTTATAAAAATAATAAGATTATATATCTGTTTTTTTATGTTCTCATATAATTATATTATATTTAATACGTTATTAATTCTGATTAAATTTAGTACTTATTTAAACATTAATTAATTAAATTACATGAGACAAATGTATTAATAATTATTTTACATTATTAGAATAAGATATTATGGACTTGCATGGCTATCATGGCAATTGATAGTAAAGAACTACATGCTGCGGAAGAAAGTTACGCAGCTATAGGTAGATGTGATACAGTCGATTATATTAAATATATTAAGGTAACACACAAATCAACTTAATATTATAATGATAAAATATATTCGTATAATTTTATTTAATTTTATAAAAATCTTATAAGTATGTAAATAAATGCAATGAGAGCCGAAATCTGAGTGAAATGCGTCCGAATTCAAGATTTTTCCGGAAAAAATCTTTATTTTAAGCGTTTTTGTGTTGAATCATCTTCAGTAATTATAAAAATTACAATTTTTGATTTATTGAATGAAAGAGGGAAAAAACAATAGAAATGGATATATTTATATTCACTTATAATTAGATGAAAGCTGAGCAAGTCAAACGGGATGTTCGTCAAAAAATTATCTCCAATTAATTTACAAGGCAGGGTTGGTATGTTTTAAATAATTTGTTTAAAACTGTTTGATTAAAACTTGTTTAAAACAGTGGATACTGTTTTAAACTTTTTTTTAAACAGTTTTAAATTATTGCTTAAAACTGTTTAAAACATTGCAATTAAAATGTATGATTATTTAAAAAAGAAACTGCAAAAAAAACAAAGACAAATAAAAACTAATGAAGATGTATATTGGAAAAAAATTATTTGTTTAATTTTTTTGGGTTTATCTATATTTATATGTAACCTATAGATAACATTGAAAATATAAATATAAATAATGAAATAAAAATAATAAGCATAAACGTAATTCTTTCCAATCGCTAGTCAATAAATAGAAAAATTAAATAATCGACCAAACTAGCAAAAATCAATTTTATTAATATTCACGACGTTTCGACCATGTGATTGTGGTTTTTCTCAAGTGAACAATACTTTAAAAAAAAAAAAAAAAGAAAAAAATAAAAATTTTGAAAACAAAAAGAAAAAATAAATAATTTTTAAGAAAAAAAACACGCCCGCCTGCTGCCAACAAAGTCATAACGTTTAAATAATAAAATTTAAAAATAAAAAATAAAGAACAAAACAATTAAAAAACAAATATTAAAAATTAAAAAAAAGAATAAATAAGCTTTGAAAAGTTTGAAATAAGAAATGTATATTAATTAAAAATTTATATTGTTTAATTACTATATTATTAGTACTTACAAAGAGATATTATTTCAAATTTATATTTTGAAATAAATTTGAAATAATATCTCTTTGTAAGTACTAATAATATAGTAATTAAACAATATAAATTTTTAATTAATAAATTTTTTCTAACTAACAAATATTTTTAAATTTTAATAATAAAAGTCGACCAAACTGACAGTAATTTATTAAAGATGCTTAATTAAATTACAACGTTTCGGCTGTCCTTGCAGCACTTTTCAAGTAAACCTATAAACAATTACACGAAAATAATTATAACTTTAATCTAACTATTAATCAAATGAATAATTATAAACGCCAAACATTAGTCAACAAAAATACATTACCTAATAAACGGAAATACATAACGCGTTAGTACGACTGAATTAAGTTCACTGCATACTGACATAACATTATTTTAATAAACAATGTAAACTTAACATAATACACAAGAACAAATAAAGAAGTTAACAAATATTTTCTTCTATTGTAATTATTATTATTAATTTTATAATTTAGAAAAGCAGTCGGAAGACGCCGTGCACTCACGTGCACCACACGCATACGTATACTGCAATATGAGAAATACACATACTTAGCACGGCGTCTCCTGACTGCTCTTCTAAATTATAAAATTAATAATAATAATTACAATGGAAGAAAATATTTGTTAGTTAGAAAAATATTTATTAATTAAAAATTTATATTGTTTAATTACTATATTATTAATACTTACAAATAGATATTATTTTAAACTTTATTTCAAAGCATATTTCTTATTTCAAACTTTTCAAAGCTTATTTATTCTTTTTTTTAATTTTTAATTTTTGTTTTTTTAATTTTTTTTTGTTCTTTAATTTTTATTTTTAAAATTTTATTATTTAAACGTTATGACCTTGTTGGCAGCAGGCGGGAGTGTTTTTTTCTTAAAATTTTTTTATTTTTTATTTTTGTTTTCAAAATTTTTATTTTTTGATCTTTTTTATTATAATTTTTAATTTTTATTTTGTTTTTTTTTATTTTTAATTTTTGGTTCTTTATTAATTTATGGTAATGATTTAATCGATCAACGATCGAATCGAGACAAAAACGAACGGTTGACGAATCGGAGTCTCGAACGATACTGACTTTATCGTGTGCTCTTATACATACATGAGCGTGAGGGTCTTTCGTGAATTTCTAAACAAAGATGATTTGATGTTTTCTATATGAAATGTCTTTACTTGTTTCAAAAATATGAAAAGCAAAATAGAATAAACGTAAATTTTCAACAGTAATATATGATTCCAAACAATCGGCCAAAGTATTTCATCGAACATCTTGTGGCATTAATACATGGTAACCGCTTTTAGCTGAACTTAGAGCCATGTCCTCGATTCGTGACTCTGGGTTCAGCTAAAAGCGGTTACCATGCTTTGTAATGGCTTGTAGCTAAATGTAGAACGCAGAAATGCGCGTAGTTTGAACGTTCTAGATGTAGTATTTTTTAATCAATCTTCAAGGTATAATACACTGTTTCTTTAGATTTTTTCTGCGGAGTTCAAATCCGTTGAGAAAATTGGACTAACACGTGTCATTTTATAGTTATTTTAACTTAAAAATGCCAAAAAGTGGTATTTTGGCACTTTTAGATGCATATATTTTTGAAATCTGATGTGATTTGATGATCTGATCAATTTGGGTAACGGATTCGGTTTCGGTACGTCAAAATTTTTCGGAAATGACTATTGAGATATTAGGTTGTTCGAAAAGTTTGTTTCAATGCATTTCTACGTAATCAATAAATGCGAGGGCACTAAAGATGATTTTCTGCTTATCAGCTAACTTCACATAGATAGTATAGTCTTCAGCTGGACGAATTGAAAACTGTCATCGCACGAAAGTGCCCTGAACTGAGAGGAGTTGTTCCACTTCCACCATGATAACGCCAGACCTCACGTCGCGATGTCTATCCGTAGGAAACTATATTAAACGTAAAATGGGACGTTTTTCCTTATCCTCCATATTCTCCCGATCTTGCCTCATCTGACTACTACCTATTTCTTTTTTTGAAAAATTTTCTTCAAGACAAGAAATTCGAGTCATTCGAAATCCTCAAAAGTCATCTTGATCAATTCTTCGTCAGTAAGAAACTTCGCCTTCATTTTGGAAGGAAGGCATCATGTTACTTCCGAAAAGATGGGCCAAGATGATTGAATAAAACGGTACATATTTGCTTAAATAAAGTTTCTCTTTGTGTAAAATATTGCATTCAAATTTATAATAAAACGAACTTTCCGAACAACCTAATATAAAGATTTAAAAGAAAGTCTCCATACATCGGTCTGTGTAATTAATAAATTCAAAACCAAAAAACCGATATAATAAACATCAAACTTGAAACTTTGATATTAATTAAAAAACATTTGTCCAGTTGTCCATATTTTACACGTTTAGTGGTAAAAAGCCAGTAGTCCATGCGTAGAATCAAAAGCAACGAGAGTGGTCAAATATGACATTATGACATTAGGATTACCGATTAACGGTATTACCGATTACATTACATTACGGCTACAATGATTATACAGATTAAAGTTATCAAGTATTTTTTACTAGTTTGAAACATGGTTTTTTGTTTAAAACGTGTTCTTTCTTTACTTAAAATCACGTATAAACCAAAAAAATGTTTAAAAAAATCAATGTTTTTCGTCTAAAATTAAAAAAAACGTTTTCTACCAATCCTATTACAAGATTGTAAGATAATTTATATATACGTATGTATATAGAATGTCAATAGGTATACATTATGTATACACATTATAAATACATTATACAATTTAAGAAAACAATAATTAAAGATTTAATAAGGAAAACAATTAGATATTTAAAGACAAGGCTCGTGTGATATTATAAAATTAAGATTTAGAAAGACAGGGCCAACTATAACGAGCATATTAAATTAGTGAGAGATGTAATGTCAACACATAATTGATTTATTTCTTAGTAGATACAATGATAATAAAAATAATAAAACGTTTCGGCTGTTACCTCAGCCTTCTTCAGTAAATATAAAAACAATAAAAATTCTTTTAAGAAAAATTATGACATATTACGCATTAGAGTCTATTTTTAATGAATATTTTGGTTTAATAAGTCGATGAATTTAAATTGGGTTACGCTTATAACATTTATTAAATTAGATATTTTTTCTAATCGGCTAACCATTTTTTAGTTAAGATGGTAAACTTTTTGATTATGTCAAAAAACATGTAAACGAGTTCCCTGTTGTTAGTAGAACAGGTTGACGGCCCATTCCACGTCATCAATTCTTTTGAACATTATTAGTTAAAATTATCGTCAGAACCGCTTGATATGAGAATTGAAAACAATTAGATGTTATCCAGCATCAAAAAGTTAGTCCCCATCATCAAGGATATTTCCGAGTAAGTTCGTCATTGCAGTATATTTCACCGTGATTGTTTAAATTGATGAGTAGTCAAGATTCCGCCAAGTTGATGTGTTCACTATACAAAGTCACAGTATGATGGGAAATATACTGCAATGACGAACTTACTCGGAAATATCCTTGATGATGGGGACTAACTTTTTGATGCTGGATAACATCTAATTGTTTTCAATTCTCATATCAAGCGGTTCTGACGATAATTTTAACTAATAATGTTCAAAAGAATTGATGACGTGGAATGGGCCGTCAACCTGTTCTACTAACAACAGGGAACTCGTTTACATGTTTTTTGACATAATCAAAAAGTTTACCATCTTAACTAAAAAATGGTTAGCCGATTAGAAAAAATATCTAATTTAATAAATGTTATAAGCGTAACCCAATTTAAATTCATCGACTTATTAAACCAAAATATTCATTAAAAAATAGACTCTAATGCGTAATATGTCATAATTTTTCTTAAAGAATTTTTATTGTTTTTATATTTACTGAAGAAGGCTGAGGTAACAGCCGAAACGTTTTATTATTTTATTATCATTGTATCTACTAAGAAATAAATCAATTATGTGTTGACATTACATCTCTCACTAATTTAATATGCTCGTTATAGTTGGCCCTGTCTTTCTAAATCTTAATTTTATAATAATTAAAGAAATACTATCACCACATAAATCAGAGTACACAAATACCTTCGATAATTACAGATGGTATGTTATGATTTTGATTGATAAAAATGGATGAGAAACGAATTTTATCCAGACAACTAATAATCAAAATGATTTCGGTGATACAGCGGCAGAAAAGTAATTCAAATCTTTAAAGTTACACTATCAATTTAATAGTGTTTATCTGTCAACAATCAACAATTTTCCGACAAAAGCGTTCCCTTCGACTCACTCAGCTTTCATCTAATTATGAATAAATATCCATTTCTTATTGTATTTTTTTTTATTTATAATAAATCAAATATTGTAATTTTTATATACTCGTCAACAAAATTAACGCATATGTATTTTTAGTCAAAATAATTTTGCATAATTTTAAATAAGCATAACTCCGCTAAAAATAAACGTATTTAAAAATTTTTTCATTTTCAAGCTTGAAGTCACTACTTAAGAAGCATTAGTCAGAATTTTAATTTATTCTCTCCCTACCTTTGCTACTGCTTCAAAAGTAAGGACGTGTTTTGATTCTAAAAAAATTGCGCACTTTGACGCACTACCCAGAGTGAAATAAATATTGTTTGCAAATCTTATAAAAATTTTCGTAAAATATGGACTTTTTCCTACAAATTAAAAAAAGGAAAAATTCGTACGATTTTTTTTTCGCGGAGTTATTACATATAAAAGTACCCATACAATTTTTTCATTTACTACCAGCATTAGCGTTACCCGACGCGCACTAACAATGATTACGCGACAAATTGCTAATAAAGTTCTCCCTCACAAAATCCGTGATTCCTCTCCAAATGTATGGAACATACATTTTTCCACACATTAGGAGAGGAAAATGTCGAACTCGCGATCTTAAACCACGTTCACGTAATCTTCTAAGTATCATCTTCTAAGTATATAATCATTGATTTTGTATATATATATATATATGCGTTAATTTTGTTGACAAGTATAATTAGATGATCCAATAGAGCCAAATCCTAAAATAAAGATTTGAAGAAAAAAACTAAGAAATAGAGATTTTACAAGAAAATATCTACAAATTATTCGCTTTTCACCCCTACTGATTTTTCATTGCCTTTTCTTTACATACTTATATTCACTATTTAGAGTTTAGCTCGTATTGTTTTAAAAATAATGTCTTTAATTATAAATATAATGATTATAACACTTTATAATAGTTTATAATTAACATAATTAAATAATTTACATTACTAACACTTAATGATAATTTATAGTATAACAATATATTAGGTTAATAAAATATATATATATATATATATAGGGTGATGAAAAACTAAGTGCCATAAATTTGTGTGTTGAAAAAAAGGACGAATACAAACATTTTAAAAGATCAATTAATACAGAACTTCGCTTGTATATTGTATATACAACTAATGAGAAATAGAAAGGCCAACTTATCGAGCAATTCTTAGAGTTGTTATGTCGAATTAAAATTTATTCATATATATACTAAACATAAAACATTGTGTGAAAGATACAAACATTTTATAATAAAATTTATGCAAAAATTACAGTCATTATAAAATAAACGTTTCAACCGCACGCGGTCTTCCTCAGTATTATACTACAGTAATTTTTTTTAAAAAACAAATTTATACAGAAATTACAACATAATATTGCAAATTAATGTTAGTTCTTTAATAAGAGTCGAGAATTTAATAAGCAATTAAAGCGTGTTCCAATCTGTCATATCAAACGAATTGATGTGATCTTTGATATTAATCAAATCTCGTAAAGTTTTATCGTTAATATGCGAGAAATTAATAAGTTCCGTAGGCGCTGCAATTAATAAAAAAATTGACGATTAACGTATGTCAAAAATTAAAATATATATCCTTAACAATTAGCAATATGCTTACTTGACATCGTCCTTCTTGACAATCTTAACCACGTTTTTTTGAAAAAGTTATTGAAGATGACACAAGAAAAGACCAACAATATAAAAAGACACCTCATTTCAAACTCTACTTAATCGCAGATTGTGTGTGTTTATATATGATCTGATAGATATGTTTAAACTATTAATGTCCTATTAGTCTTATTATTATTTATTGTTCGCTAATTTATCTAAAATATCATAACAAGACTCGCTGGGTAATTCAGTATCTTTGTTTAAATTTAGCCCAGTTTTTTGTTCTTTAATATGTAGCATCTCAGAGATGAGTCTTTTGTAATAATTATTTTCGTTGTCCAGAATCTTTACGTTATCCCAATTAAATGTATGGTGTTCATTTATTATGTGTTCAGAAATTACTGAATATTTCGTTGAGTCCAACCTGATATTATTTTTATGTTCTTTCAGTCTGTAATTGCCTCCTCGTTTGGCCTACATAAGATGCATTACAATTATTGCAATTGATCTTATAAACAATATTAGAATTGCATGGATCTTTAATTTTATCTTTCTGTGCTTTAATAATTTTATCCAGTTTTTTGAGACATCTGTATCCTACTATAAACTCTGTATTTTTTATCGAGGAGACAATCATTTCTGAGATCCTATTTATATACGGAATGACAAAGAATTTTTTATTTACTGATTTCTTTTCTATAATTTTTGTTTCTCTATGTTTGTTTATCTTTTTATAATGCTTTTTTTAGATATGAGGTGTCCTATCCGATGATTAATTTTGTTAAAAATAAGATCAAGAGGGTAATCATTGCTTATAAGTATGTTGATGATTAACTCTAAATTTTTATTGCAAAATTGTGGGTGTGATAATAATAAACATCTGTCTACAAGGTTGTAAATTATTCCAATTTTATGGCATTGTGAATGGTTAGAAAAAAATGATAGAATCCTTCCTGAGAAGGTTTTTTTTTAATACCAATCTATGATTTATGAATTTGTTTTTTAAAAAAATTACTGTAGTATAATACTGAGGAAAACCGCGTGCGGTTGAAACGTTTATTTTATAATAACTGTAATTTTTGCACAAGTTTTATTATAGAATGTTTGTATCTTTCACACAATGTTTTATATTTAGTATATATGTATATGAATAAAAATTTCAATTTTACATAACAACTCTAAGAATTGCTTAATAAGTTGGCCTTTCTATTTCTCAAGCATTTTAAGTATAGTAACCATGGATTGCCGACGTTTCATTACGGCGTGACGGACGTTTAATTGAATCGTCACAACTCTTGCGATGCGTAACGTAAGTTTGGTTTGCCCCTCATTTGTTTATCATTCGTTTGTTTACCTCTAAAGGTGCTTGCAAGGTCTTTCTTTTGCTCAAATTATCAATGATCACATTGTCAGTCTATCTGTGCTACTAACAGTGAGAAACGAGTAGCTAGAGTTTGTTTTCTTTAAAATAATCATGAATCGCAACAATGGGTACACTTGAGAGGAACTTGCAGACATGCACCTTGCGTTTGACGCTGCCGAGGACAACTCTGCACTCGCTCTGAGGATGTGTCAAGAAAGATACCCAAACAGAAGACTGCCGAACTGGAGGACTTTTCTTAATTTTGACCAACGTCTGACGGAAACGGGATCATTGCAATCAAGGATATACGACGCAAAGAGAAATAGGTCAGTACGTACTCGACAGTTTGAGGAAGAGGTATTAGAACGATTTGAAGATAATCCGTCCACAAGTACAGAATTGTTGCACGCGAGCTCCGTGTTAATAGCCGTCTCGTTTGGAATGTTGTTCATGACAATGCGCTTCATCCATTTTATCGACAAAAGGTCTGCAAGCTCTTGGACCCATCGATTTTCCTGCTTGCCTTGCCTTTGTTAATTGGTTTTTGCAACAAAGAGCTCTCCAACCTGAATTTCTCTTGTTTTGTTTACTGATGAAGCAAGCTTCTCGCGCGAAACCATCGTTAACACTCACAACAGTCATGTATGGACTAGAGATCCACATTCCACTTTCATTCATGGTTATCAAAAACGTTTTACGGTAAATGTGTGGGCGGTAATACTTAATAATTTCTTAATCGGGCCCTACCTTATGCCTCCCAGGCTCAATGGGCACAATTATCTGATATTCCTGCAGCAAGTCCTGCCGGAATTTATGGAGAACGTACCGCTCGTAATCAGAAGGGTCATATGGTTTCAGCACGACGATGCCCCAGCGCATTTTACGGCTGAAGTACGCAATCACCTGACAGAAACTTTCGGCGACAGATGAATCGGGCGGGGTGGACGTGTAACGTGGCCTGCAAGATCACCAGATTTAACGCCTCTTGACTTCTTTTTCTGGGGTGCAATAAAAAGTCTGATTTATTCCGAACAAGTTAAATCCGAGGAAGATCTGGTCGCTCACATCGTGGAGGCATCTGAAACTATCCGACACATGCCTGAAATATTCCAAAAAACGCGGCAGTTATTACTCCGTCGCTGTGACTTTTGTCGGAACGTTGGCGGTCGTAACTTTGAACATTTATTGTAAACATCAAATTGATGGAATAAATCATTGCATCGCAGGGGTTGTGACGATTTAATTAAACGCCCGTCACGCTGTAATGAAACGTCGCCGACCCATAGTTCCTATACTTAAAATGCTTGTATTCATCCTTTCTTTTATCACACAAATTTATGGCACTTAGTTTTCTATCACCCTGTATTGTATATGTATATATAATGTAATAATATAATTTAATATTGTTTGCATTATGTTGTTATATTTATATAAATAAATTTAAAATAAATCTATAAATAAATCTATTTTTAAAATGAATCTATAAAATTTGTAGAGTTTGCCTAGTGCTACAGAAAGAAATGCAGAAATGGCACTAATGGCTGGAGATTTACTGGCAGCAGAAGGTATATTGTTACAAAGTGGTTTGATTAAAGAAGCTATACGTATCAACATCAAGGTTTATAATTGGAATAGGTATATTTAAAATTATGCAAAGTGTTAGCATAATTTTTAGAATTTTTACTCCTTTATATTATGTTACTGACAAGGTACTGTTAAAGATCGTTGGCCCTGGGTAAATTTGTGTCTTTACCAAGTGGGCCCGGTGGGCCCGGCATCGGTCGATAATAATGACAATAAATAGCTAATAAGAACATTTTATCCATTCTACTATATTGTAAATTATAATTATATATAGTTTATATTATAAATTATAAATTATAGTTTATATTGTAAATTATAATTATATAACAAGAATAGAGAATGTATCGCTGTGAAGAGCCAAATGTAATACTTAGCAATTCGCTAAGACGAGGAACAAGAGCGCAAAATCGAAAATCGGAGCGCTCTCCGAACCCTCCCGGCCGGGCGCGTCCGCCCTTGTGACGGGCATAAAATACCACGTCACAATATATATATATATATATATATATATAAGTATTTATATATATAAAATAAGAATTTGATAGTTACCAACATCGTACCGACAAATCTATTTAGTAAGCGACACAAACTCACGTAAGGCCGTCTTTAATAGTACCTCGTCGGTGATTATGTTAACCAGGACTAATCAAATAAGAAATATTAATATTTTATATTAATATAATATAAATATTATATATATAAATATTATGTTAATATTTCTTATTTAATTTTATTCACGCTTGCGCCTAATCAAGGCGTTATTTACTAACATCTATTAAAAGGCAAATGAAAAATATAGGATCGAAATGACCTGAATAGCTTAGTTGGTAACAGCAGTCGCCCGGAAAGTGAAAGACGCGAGTTCGATTCCCGCTTCAGCGACTTTTCGGACCTATATTTTTCTCGCCTATTTCTCCATATGTAAGTTCGAGATTAATTTATATATGGAACTTAGTAATCTCAAACCAAGAGATACAGTTCCGAATAATTAATTTTTCGCGCTTGGGCTCTATTGGCCGATTTAAAATATCATATCTATATTTTTATTACTTATAGTAATGATAAAATAATGTTTACATTCTTTTTATTTGTGTTTATTAACCAATTAATTAATTTGTTTTTCTTTTTTAATTAAGAGCTTTGGAATTAGCAATAAAACATAAAAGGCAACTTGAAGAGATTCTAAATGCAAGAGCAAAATATCTGCACACTATTAACAAAACCGAAACAAATCAAAGCTTTCTCACACTTAAAGTCAATATTTCGACACCACAATTGGTGAATAAAGTAAGTAAATACATAAACAATGTGTTACAGAGTTTTTATTAAATGTCTTATTAGCATTTCTTATTTCAGGAAAGCAATGAAAAAAAAATTGATATTCAAAATGATGTTGAACAAATCGATATTGAATAAAATATACCATCCAAATCATGAATTGCAACAATATAATCTTACAAATTCTAATAAAATAATTAACATACAATAGTAGTAGAAACATTACGTAATTATATAAAATATTCTATGTCTTTATTAATACTTAAATTTTATTACGAACTGTTTTAAGAACCGTTTTAATTTACAAAAATATTGTACTCGTAGCTATACATATAATTTGTAAGTTTATTGCATTATTAGTTTCTAGTTATAAAATTTTTTTCTGCTATAGTTAATTACAAATATAATAAAAATAATAAATAGAGAGCGCGAGAGATAGGGGGAGGGAAAGAGGGGGGAGGGAAAGAGGGTGGAGGGAGAGGGAGTGGGAAAGAGAGGGGGTGGGAGAAAGGAAAAGAGAATAAGTGAGAAGGAGAAGGAGACAGAGAGAGGGATTTATATTAAAATGTATGAATCAAATAATTTATACTGAAATATATATACTACATGTATACTTCATATATGTGTAATTTTAAATTAGTTGCAATAATGAAACGAGAAGGCTCTTCTCTGATAGAAAAATTTCTATTGAAGAAAATATTAATATAATCCTGTGTATATTTATAATATTAATATAATCCTGTATAATTTATCATGTTTATTGTTAGTCCTATATTCTTTCTCACTTACGTTATAAACTTAGCGCTGTTAAACTACGTACTATGCTATAATTAACGTATTTTTATATTTGTGTTGTCTGTCGTACAGTTCGGCACTGGGATTGTTGCGCATTAAGCATTGGAATTCAGAGAACCGTTTGAAGTGTTTACCGTTTACAATTATATGGATAATATTATATTTTCCTTTAAATAAATGAATTATTCTTTTGTAATTAAAGTCTGTTTATAAGTCGTTACTTCATAAAATCCATGTCTTAACTATGAATTAGCTCGCGTCTAGATTATGTTACGATTGATTCTTGATTTTACTCAATTATTCGTTCTTACGTTATCTCCCTATTTAAAATAATTACTTAGCGATGGTACTCGGTAGCACTAAAAGATAATGTCCCTTCTGGCTTTTGTTCGATCACAGGTTATCATACTTATATTACCGACTGAATTTCTAATTAACGACCGCGACTATATCAACGATTACGATTGTAACAATTGTAGCGAGCGCGTCTGTTGCTCAATTTTTATTATCAAATTTTGGAGCTATTGATCAGAAGAAATGCCTGAAAACAATACTCTCTGATCAAAGTCCGAATGCAAACGAAAGTGTTCTATTTCTTTGCGTGCATTTTTACAATTTTTGGATTTGCACGTGTGGCTCGTTGTGTTAATGTTTTTACGCTGAATGTTCTATCACTAAATAAAATTTATACTTAGTTATAGCTTTTTTGAGTTATAACATCTCTGCTCCACTAGAAAATGCCAGAAGTACGTAGTTTTCCTTAAAAACTTACAATAATATGTTGCCCCTTTATTGATATTATTGATTGTTTCTTAATTCTAGTATTGCTTGTTTTGACTACTTTTTAATATTAACCTAAATGAATTTCAATTATTATCAAGTATGCGATGGTTGTTTTTAATTTCTTCTTTTAGTTTGTTTTTTTATAATAACCCATACTATTAACCCGTACAGCATTTTAGATTTCAGATACATAGCAAATAGACAAAATTTGAAATGTTGCTATATAGCAGATACATAACAATTCATATAAATTATGTATTAAATATGTGTTTAATACCGATAAATGTCCGCGCTATGGATATGTAATTTACATTGCATATTAGATATATATGATTATATATATTCGATACGTGTTAAATACATAAATTATAATATATCTAATACGTAGCTGTAATATTGCAAATACGTGTGTAAAATGTATCATATAGATTATTTATTTATACATATACACATATAGAGCGTTTTCCAGCAAGCGATACAAACATAATATTACACAGAGTATTATTCTATCTTTATTCAATACCAATAAACAACAAAGATAGAATAATTTTCTGTGTAACTCTGTCTGTGTCGCTTGCTGAAACACAGACAGAGTTACACAGAAAATTATTCTATCTTTGTTGTTTATTGGTATTGAATAAAGATAGAATAATACTCTGTGTAATATTATGTTTGTATCGCTTGCTAGAAAACGCTCTATATGTGTATATAAATAAATAATCTATATAATACATTTTTTTCTAAAACTAAATAAGATAACATAAACTTTTTAAAATTATTTTTTTATTAATTTATTTTAATATTATATATTTAATAATATAAATATATCATATGTATATTTTTATAAAATATATACCTTTTATATAACATTTTTTACGGTATATTTTAGTTATAGTATAATTATTTTTATAGTTATATTTTAATATTACATCATATCAGTCTATATATATATCAATCTATATATATGTAGTACTTATTTTAATATTACTTTTCAGTTTTGGTGTTGATCAGCTTGATTAGTTTGGTTTTTTTCTTTGTCTCTGAAACAATCAATAAATTTAATTATGCTGCCTTCTAAGCCGGGCAATAGAGCCAAGGAAACGAAGCGAAAAATTAATTAAACGGAACTGTATCTCAATTTGAGATCCCAAAGTTCCACATATAATTAATTTCGAAACTTACATATGGAGAAATAAGCGAGAAAAATATAGGTCCGAAAAGTCGCTGAAGCGGGAATCGAACCCGCGTCTTTCACTTTCCGGGCGACTGCTCTTACCAACTAAGCTATTCAGACCCTTTCGATCCCATATTTTTCATTTGCCTTTTAAGTAGATGTTAGTAAATACCGCTGTGATTAGCCCAGGCGTGAATAAACTCAGAAATAAATATTTTTATCGGCTCTCAATATAAAGAATATAAGTATGCTGCCTTCTAAGCCGGGCAATAGAGCCAAGGAAACGAAGCGAAAAATTAATTAAACGGAACTGTATCTCAATTTGAGATCCCAAAGTTCCACATATAAATTAATTTCGAAACTTACATATGGAGAAATAAGCGAGAAAAATATAGGTCCGAAAAGTCGCTGAAGCGGGAATCGAACCCGCGTCTTTCACTTTCCGGGCGACTGCTCTTACCATACTCTTAGCATACTTATATTCTTTATATTGAGAGCCGATAAAAATATTTATTTCTGAGTTTATTCACGCCTGGGCTAATCACGGCGGTATTTACTAACATCTACTTAAAAGGCAAATGAAAATATGGGATCGAAAGGGTCTGAATAGCTTAGTTGGTAAGAGCAGTCGCCCGGAAAGTGAAAGACGCGGGTTCGATTCCCGCTTCAGCGACTTTTCGGACCTATATTTTTCTCGCTTATTTCTCCATATGTAAGTTTCGAAATTAATTTATATGTGGAACTTTGGGATCTCAAATTGAGATACAGTTCCGTTTAATTAATTTTTCGCTTCGTTTCCTTGGCTCTATTGCCCGGCTTAGAAGGCAGCATACTTATATTCTTTATATTGAGAGCCGATAAAAATATTTATTTCTGAGTTTATTCACGCCTGGGCTAATCACGGCGGTATTTACTAACATCTACTTAAAAGGCAAATGAAAAATATGGGATCGAAAGGGTCTGAATAGCTTAGTTGGTAAGAGCAGTCGCCCGGAAAGTGAAAGACGCGGGTTCGATTCCCGCTTCAGCGACTTTTCGGACCTATATTTTTCTCGCTTATTTCTCCATATGTAAGTTTCGAAATTAATTTATATGTGGAACTTTGGGATCTCAAATTGAGATACAGTTCCGTTTAATTAATTTTTCGCTTCGTTTCCTTGGCTCTATTGCCCGGCTTAGAAGGCAGCATACTTATATTCTTTATATTGAGAGCCGATAAAAATATTTATTTCTGAATAAATTTAATGTTTAATATATGTAATATTGTTGTTAAATATAAAAATATAATAAAGATAAAAAAGAAAGACGTTTCTATAAAATATATATATAATTACAAAGAATCTTTCAAATCTTTTAATATTTTTAGAAAAACTTGACTTCGACGTAACTAGCAAATTTTATTTAATTATTTCACGACGTTTCGACCATTTGGTTGTGGTCCTTTTCAAGTGAAATTTTCATCAATTAAACCGAGATTAACGTAACATCACACTGGTGTTATTTAAAATCGAAAGTTAAAAGTTAAAAGAGGAACACGTCCCATCGTTATGATGTTTCGTCAACGACTTGTCGTTGACTGTCGACCAAATGGTCGAAACGTCGTGAAATAATTAAATAAAATTTGCTAGTTACGTCGAAGTCAAGTTTTTCTAAGCTTATTTTCACCACTAGCGACCAATATTAATTTTGATTAATATTAATTTTAATTGATCGTCTTTTAATATTTGTTTGAATATTATTTTGAATAAAAAAACAATGAATAATGAATGTAATGGATGTTATAAAGGATTATTAGAGACAAATTACATTTAAAAAAGCACCTTAATTAATAATTAATTTTTATAATAAATATTAATAGTTATAAAAATAAATTATAATAAAATTTACTCACACAATTCTGCGAACGCGTGCAGGAGCTTGAACAATCCAATTACTCATGAGTTTTATAAGTATTTCTTCGGTTGTATCGGTATCGTGTAATCGAACAACAGCTACAAATATATATAGTATATCAATTTATAATACTGTACATATAATACTATAAAAAACATTGTCATCATAGCAATTGTTAATTTCAGAAAACAACTATAACGAACGTATACTTAATGAAGTCTTACCTGTAATTAAATCAACGATTTTAAAATTGCGAAATGCATTTTTTTCTCGAGCTCTTTGCCAACTGTATGACATTAATATGTCATCCTTTATTAATGCTTTGAAAATGTTTTTGATTATATCTTTTAGATTTGTTCCGCCTTTCAATCTCAAAAAACCTCTAAAATAATTTGAAATATGTAAATTATTAAAATAAAAAACAAAATTTGTAAATATGTAAATATGAAAAATATACACAACACTATAGTATATGTATATATATATATCAAACTATATATAATCATATACATAATTATTTAATAATTATAAATATTCAGTATTGTTAATAGTTATATTTATTAAAA